TTGCCGAGAGATACTTAACCTATGAAATTAAAAAATATAAAATATAATACTAAAGAGCCAAATTATTAAATATAGGAATAAAAATGAAAGAACAAAGATAATTAGATACAAATTTAATTAATTATCGAGATTTAACGAAAATCCTACAAATTATATTCGTCTTTTGTGGTATATTATGCTTTGTTAAAGAGTTTCAAAGTATGAGAATTTTGTGTTAAAAAACTCGATAATTTGCTTACCAGTTTGGGCCCTTTAGCTTAGCCCTATATTTTCTTATTTATATTTTGGGCTTTATTAGCTTGGCCCATAAAAAAAATAAAGGAAAAGGCAGGCAGCCCTCCAAAGTCCAAACACACAAAACAAAACAATCTGTTATTGTGTTAACCTTCGAATGCGTGAGTTCCATCGTCCAATAGGAATTCTTTTGCCAACTTAGCTGAAGACAAATTAAAAAAAAAATGGACATGTATTTATATAGATAATTTACGAAAATTTGAGGCCCTTCAAGTTTTTGGAGGCACAAGGCGACGGCCTTGCTCGCCTTGGGCTTGGGCCATCCCTGATCATGTAGACCCTGATCATGTATGCACTACAACAAAACAACCATATCATACACCATCAAAAAATGCATGACCTTGAAGTATTTTGCATGCACGTGATTTTAAGAGTTTGTGATATTCGATAATTTCCCTAATTCAACTGGCCCATTGAGCGAGCAATCATCGGATGTTTCTTCCAACATTAGATCAGCGGAATTAAAGGAACCAGTTGATTAACCCTCAATCGTAATCGGGCCGCCCTTGCGGAACCCCTGTTGTCCCTCAAACTGAATTGGAGCGGTCTTTTTCTCTTCAAACACCTTAACATATGTCCCGTAGAATGGGAATACGTTGTGGCTAAAGTATATTTGCTGCGGAGTTTCGACCACATGCATGTAGCTGCATATTTTACCTTGTATGATGTCTATTAATCTGATAAAAATACGACTTACATTTACATTTAAATATAAATATAAATATATACATACATACACATGTATATGCATGTAAATAAAATAAGAATGTCTTATCAATTAAAATAATTTGGTCTTTGGATAAATTACACTCCTTGTTTATTTAGGTATTTCACCAAGTTCTCGTACCGACGCGTAGAACTTGTTGGAAATGGATATGCTATGAACGAATATTTGCCGAGGCGAGTTGACTCTGTCCTTAAGACGAAATTTCCCCGCAACGGTGCTAACGGTTTGAATGGAAATCGTCTCCCTAGATACAACGGCAAGGCTTGGAATAGGAGCACTCCAAATCCCAAGTACGACGAACTGTACTTTGTGTAGAACTTTTCGAGAGAATCTGTGAAGGGTAGGCTTAATATGCAGTAGGCTGATTTTGGATTGAAGTGAGAGATTCTGGGAAACAGGGTCTATTTACGAAAAGTAGTGTCCTTTGGAGCAAAAAGGTACATTTTGGCTGAATGGTTGCACCATTTCGAGTTGAGCCGAATGGTTTGCATTGGTTCGGCCGCACCAATTCAAACCAGTCAGACCATTCGAGATGGGATTCGAGTAAGAGGGCCCAATGGGTTGACGGCCCATGACCTAATGTTTTTGGCCCAAAAAATAATGTAGTGATTTGGGCCCAAGCCCAAATCCAAATCCGATTCGTACGTACGAACGAGCCGCGCCGGCCGGCCGGTCAGACGGACGCGCGTGTGGGCACGATTTGAAACACATAACATATAGGCCTTTCTCCCAAACAAAGATGAATTCCCAAAGGGCGTAACCCTTTGTCCCAACATTTTGATATATATACAGCTTAGTACTTCTCTACTTTTCCAATGTGGGATAACTCAAAATCCCACTTTCCTTATATTTTGGACAAGTGATTTTTTCATTCACCACAAAATTGGTTTTATATTAATCTAATCCAAAATTGATTTATATAATCAATTAGACCGTATAATAACATTGATAAAAAATTGGTCATGACTCAATTTTTAACCAATTTCCCAACAATCCCCCACATGAATGAAAACGAGGGCGTCGATTCTCTCTAGAGTTCCCACGAATAGTATTGCATTGGGATAGGTAGCATATAGCTTTGAACCTTCCGTAGTAGAGTTACATCGAATTTACTAGGCTGAGTAGTGAAAACGATGTCTTGAACTGTCAGCCGTTCGTGTAAACCAAGACAATGCAGCCCACACAATACTATTCTCACATTTCCTTAGTTCTCATGATTGTGTCCGTTTTGGCCATGGACACACATCTTGGATTCATAAGTGTTTTTCAAGTTTTTTGAAGCGGCCCTCACTTCATACACTTACATAGGTGATCTCCTATTAACGGTATCCTGCCAATACCTCACTTTTTATTATAAGGTTTTGGAATCATTAAAAGCGTTAGCTTATCCTTTACCCTTTCTGCAGGTAGCACTATTATCTTTCGCGGGAATGAGTTAGGAATTAGTTCCTTAGTGCTCGACTGAACTTTCTTAGCTTAGTTGTCCCTTTTGAACCAGTTCTTGGGATCTCCAGTCAGCATGGTTTGGTTACCACTAAGATTGTCCTTAATTGATGGGTTTTAATCCCATTCCCCTAGATAGGCATTGTAGTTGATCTCTTGGTAAACCTTTAGTCAATGGATCCGCTAAGTTGTCTTTAAACTTTACATAGTCTATAGAAATTATTCCATTTGAGATCAATTGCCTTATGGTATTATGTCGGCGACGAATGTGTCTAGACTTACCATTATACATGCTGCTTTGTGCCCTTCCAATTGCTGATTGACTATCGCAATGAATCAATATTGCCGACACTGGTTTATTCTAACACGGAATATCTTCTAGGAAATTACGAAGCCATTCCGCTTCTTCTCCAGTTTTATCTAAAGCTATGAACTTCGATTCCATTGTGGATCGAGCTATACATGTTTGCTTTGTAGATTTCCATGACACAGCAGCTCCACCTATAGTGAAAACATAACCACTTGTGGATTTAGAATCTTTAGTATCGGATATCCAATTCGCATCACTGTAACCTTCTAGTACAGATGGATATCTTGTATAATGCAAACCAAAATCTAGAGTATATTTCAAGTATCTAAGTACTCTAGTTAATGCATTCCAATGGTCATTTCCAGGATTGCTTGTAAATCTACTTAATTAACTAACCGAATGAGCAATATCTGGACGAGTGCAGTTCATGACGTACATTAGACTGCCTATGATTTGAGAATATTTCAATTGATCCACTGGTTCTCCACGATTTTTGGCTAAGTGAATTTTCAAATCGATTGGGGTCGTTGCATGTGGACTATCAAACATTTTAAATTTTCGTAGTACTTTCTCAATATAATGAGATTGAGTAAGAAGTAGTCCATTGTCATTTTTGATAATTTTTACTCCCAAAATTACATCGGCTAGACCCATATCTTTCATGTCAAAATGTGTCGATAACATTTTCTTAGTTTTCACGATTATCTCGTGATTACTGCCCATAATTAACATGTCATCCACATAGAGACGTATAAGCACAAATTCATTTGGTGTGTTTTTAATGTATACACATTTATCACACTCATTTATTTTAAACCCTTTTACTAGTATTGTTCTATCAAATTTTTCATGCCATTGCTTGGGAGCTTGTTTTAGTCCATAAAGTGACTTCACAAGTTTACATACTTTGGACTCTTGTCCATGAGCAACAAACCCTTCGGGTTGTTCTATGTATATTTCTTCTTCTAATTCACCATTTAAAAAGGCTGTCTTAACGTCCATTTGGTGAACTTCTAGATTGTGCAAGGCAGCACTTGCTAGAAGTACTCTAATTGATGTGATTCTCGTTACGGGCGAATAAGTATCAAAGAAATCTAGACCTTCCTTTTGTCTAAATCCTTTGACTACTAATCTTGCCTTGTATTTATCAATCGAGCCATCGGCTTTATACTTTCTTTTGAGAATCCATTTACAGCCCAACGGTTTATTTCCCAGAGGTAGATCAACCAATACCCACGTATGATTTTGCATAATCGAATCAATTTCACTATTGATTGCTTCTTTCCAAAGCGGCGCTTCGGGAGTGGATAAAGCTTGTTTTATGGTCCTTGGATCATTTTCCATAGTTTATGTTAGGAATTCCGGTCCAAAGGACTTAGCATTTTTTGCCCTAGTACTTCGTCTAGGTTCTTCATCACTTTGAAACCCATCATTAGCAGTTTCATATGTTCTTTTGTGAGACCCCGTTGCTGATTTTTCTTTATAGGGAAATCTATCCTCAAAAAATGCAACATTTCTTGATTCAATGATTGTGCCTTCATTCATGTCAAGAACATCAGACCTTTGTATTAAACATCGATATGCACTACTGTTGTTTGAGTAGCCAATAAAAATGCAATCAACAGTTTTAGGCCCAATTTTTATTTGTTTTGGTTTAGGTACTTGTACCTTAACCAAACACCCCCACACTTTTAAATATTTATAGGACGGCTTGTGACCTTTCCATAATTCATAAGGGGTTTCTTTCTTTTCTCGGTGCAGAATCTTATTAAGAATATGAATGGCTGAGAGGAGTGTTTCCTCCCACAAATTCTGAGGTAAACCCGAATTTATTAACATTACATTCATCATTTCTTTAAGAGTCCGATTTTTGCGTTCAACAACACCATTTGATTGGGGTGAGTAAGGTGCCGTAGTTTGATGAATAATGCCGGTTTGAGAACAAAATTCATCTAATGGAGCACCATATTCTCCACCTCTATCACTTCGAATCATTTTGATTTTTCTTCCAAGTTGATTTTCCACTTCAACTTTATAGCTTTTAAAAGCTTCCAAGGCCTCGTCTTTGCTCCTTAGCAAAAACACATAAAAATATTTAGTGCAATCGTCAATAAATGTAATAAAATATTTCTTTCCTCCTTTAGTTTGCACAAATTTTAAATCACAAATATCACCGTGAATTAAATCTAGAGGTTCCGCTGTTCTTTCAACAGAATTAAATGACAATTTGGTCATATTTGCTTCTACACAAGTTTCACATTTCTTTTGAGAATCGAATTTAAGATGAGGTAGTAGTTCTAAGTCTACTAACTTTTTGAGTGTTTTAAAATTCACATGTCCTAATCTAACATGCCATAATTTAGAACACTATATCAAGTACATAGAACTAGTAATTTTATTATCATCAAGCTTGTGAACAAGCGTCATTACATTCATCTTAACAAGGTCGTTATCAACATAGCCTTTCCCTATAAAACAACCATTCTTGGTGAGAATTAATTTCTCAGCCTCAAGAACTAACTTAAAACCAGCCTTAGTGAGCAGCGTTCCGGAAATTAATTTTGTACGGATATCCGGAACGTGCAGTACATTAACCAAAGTGAGCTCCTTCCCGGAGGTGAGCTTCAAAACAACCTTTCCTATGCCTACAATGTCCGAGGTGGCAGAGTTTCCCATGAACACCTTTTGACCGTTGATTGGAGTGTAGGAGGAGAACGACTCCTTGTTGGAGCATATGTGGCGAGTTGCACCCGTATCGAGCCACCATTCCTTGGGATTGTTCACCAAGTTAGCTTCAAAGACTACGGCACATAAGTTGAGATCGGACATGTCGATAGGAACACTTTTGTCTTCGACCATGTTAGCTTGCCTCTTGGGTTGACGACAGTCCTTTGCCATGTGATTTGGCTTGCCGCAATTGTGACACGTTCCATTGAAATTGAACTTCTTTGGCTTCCATTTTCCTTTGCCGTTGTTATTTCCACCGCCACTAGCATTTCATTCAGCCTTCCTTTTCTTGCTAACCTACATGTTTGGTTCCATAAGGTGTGCTTTAGCCTCCATTTGCTGCTTGCCGGTTTTGGATTCGGTCTTTCGATTATCTTCTTCAATCCTTAGCCTCACGATAAGATCTTCAAGCCCCATTTCCTTGCGTTTGTGCTTGAGATAATTCTTGAAATCCTTCCAAAGCGGTGGTAGCTTTTCGATTATTGCAGCAACTAGAAAGGATTCACTCAACCTCATTCCTTCGGCATGAATATCATGCATGATGAGTTGCAACTCTTGGACTTGGCTCATAAGAGTCTTGTTGTCCACCATTTTGAAGTCCAAAAACTTCCCGACGATGAATTTCTTCAACCCGGCATCTTCGGTTTTGTACTTCTTTTCTAAGGACTCCCACAGTTCCTTAGCGGTTTTGATAGCACTATACACATTGTATAGTGAATCATCTAGAGCATTCAAGATGTGGTTCCGACACAAGAAGTTGGAATGAAACCAAGCATCCCACGCAACTCTCGTTTCCAAGGTAGCGTTGGAATTAGGCACAACGGGAGGTGTTTTCGTAACGAAAGCAACCAAGTTGATAGTGGTGAGGTAAAAGAGCAATTTCTGTTGCCAACGTTTGAAATCGATACCTTTGAACTTCTCCGGTTTTCTCCATGAGCGACAACAGGAGGGTATGGGGCTGGACGAAACGTTGGTGGAAGAACCGGAGGTGGAACAACACCGTTTGGGGGAGGAACAAGAACATTTGGTGGCTGCACTCCTTGGGTTGGTGGATCAACATCTTGGTTTTCCGGCAGGATGTTGTTGTTGTCTCCTTCGGCCATTTTGCAGATTGAAAAATTTCGTCTTAAGATTGTTGAAAATGGATCTACTATGAACGAATATTTGCCGAGGCGAGTTGACTCTGTCCTTAAGAAGAAATTTTCCCTCAACGGTGCTAACGGTTTGAATGGAAATCGTCTCCCAAGATACAACGGCAAGGCTTGGAATAGGAGCACTCCAAATCCCAAGTACGACGAACTGTACTTTGTGTAGAACTTTTCGAGAGAATCTGTGAAGGGTAGACTTAATATGCAGTAGGCTTATTTTGGATTGAAGTGAGGAATTCTGGGAAAATAGGGTCTATTTATAAGGTTCGAAAAGTAGTGTCCTTTGAGTTGAGCCGAATGGTTTGCATTCGGCCGCACAAATTCAAACCAGTCAGACCATTTGAGATGGGCTTCAAGTAAGAGGGCCCAATGGGTTGACGGCCCATGACCTAATGTTTTTGGCCCAAAAAATGATATGTACGAGCCGAGCGGGCAGACGGCGGCGGCGGCGCGCGCGGGCACGATTTGAAACACATAACATATAAGTTTTTCTACCAAACAAAGTTGAATGCCCAAAGGGCATAACCCTTTGTCCCAACATTTTGATATATATACCGCTCAGTACTTCTCTACTTTTCCAATGTGGGATAACTCAAAATCCCACTTTCCTTATATTTTGGACTAGTGATTTTTTCATTCACCACAAAATTGGTTTTATATTAATCTAATCCAAAATTGATTTATATAATCAATTAGACCGTATAATAACATTGATAAAAAAATGTTCATGACTCAATTTTTAACCAATTTTCCCAACATAACTTGCATTCGTTTTTTCATCTCAAGGTTTGGGGTGTATAGAATCGATCCATTGCTGCTTCAACGTTATTGAGGATGTAATAGAAGAGTTCCGGGTCTTCAAGGCGATTCGCGCAAATCGATCCATATATTCCATTATGAAAGTATTCTTACTCCAACGGCCACCAATCCACCATTTTCAATATAATTGCAACCTTCTGATTACTAGTAGTTAGCATATTTTTTTTTTTTTTAGAAAATTCAAGTCAATTATAAGGGAAAGTAGGGGAGGGGGGACTCGAACCCTAGACTGTTACCCTATTGGTAAAGGCTAGGTACGAACTCTCCTAATGAGGATTGGTAGTAGTTATCATATCCTATCAAAACAAATGTTAGTTACACATTATCTCATATATACGATAAATTATATTTAACTTATAAAATCAAATATCCAACAGAGACTAATATATACGAAATTAGTTACTTTTTGGAGGTGAATTAAGTAAGTACAAATGCAAGTCATTAACTGTTGGCCGACAGATTTCGGTAAAAGAAGTAGTGACTACCAAAAGTAAAATGTTTGAGGTTTTAGCAAGTGCTACTCATGTGATATGCCTAATTGCAGGAAAACTTCCTAAGTAAAAACAATTAGGATTTATTCCCCTATGCTAGCAAGTCAAAGTCACCCCGCCCTCCTACCAGCAAATCGTGTGATGTACACACAGTTGGTGCGACTTGTTTATGATTTTTTGACTTGAAAGTCTCAAATACCCTATGAAATTCATTGGTAAATGTACATAAATTTAAGGGGAAATTTGCTAGACATCCCTTTGTTGGTGATTTTACCCACACGCAAGTGCACGTATCGAACAAGTAATATAGTGAACAATTAAGTTTGGATATCGATCCCACGAGGAATATTCAACTGTCTAATCTTAAGCGCTAGATTTTCACAACTATGTTCAAGCGTACCCTAAACAGTCTAATTTGGAGAAGATTACTAAATTAAACAAAATTTATAAAAAGCAAATAACAGCAAGCAAGAGCAAATAACACGAAGATTAATTAATTAAAAAGCCCTAGGATTTTATCTCCCCCTATGTGTTTATTGATCCCCCAATTCTCTCAATTATGCAAGCAAATAATTCGTATTACTAACCTGAGATGCTAATTTAATCATAACCTGCTTATGCGTGTATTATGATTCTATTATTCGTGACTAAATTATTGTATTCCTACGCAATTCAATCAAGAACAAAGGATTAAGCACAAATCTCAATAATGGCTACCCAAGATGTTAACTATATTCCTATAATAGACAACAAATGCTCTTCTACCACATATCTAATTGTTAAACCGATCTTCCAATTCATGCATTCAACAATAACAATAAAACACATAAATTGATCAATTTCTTGCACTTAATATATCAAGTAGAAAAAATAATCCAAATTAATACTTGCATGAAAACATAGAATTAGGTTCACAAATCCCACATAGGGATCGAATAAAATCCTAGAAACTAAACACTTTAGCTACTCGTAATTCTTATGATAAACAAAATAAAATTAATAAAATAAATAAGAAAAACTATGCTTGAGTCTTCGATCTTCGTTTTTTGCGTTTTGTTGTGTCAAGTTCCGTGCTTATGGTGAGAGACTTGTTGCTTTTATAGGCTTTTCTTGATAAGGAAGTAGTGGAAACCTAATAGGAAAAATTCCGCCATTTTCCCCATCAAGTTTTGTTCTTCTATTTTGACCATGTTGAAGTCCGAATTTTGAAATGTTGTTTGAAATAATAATTGTAGCCCTTGAAACTAGATTTCCAATGTCGTTGAAATCAGATGATTTGGAGTACGTATGACAGAGATATGCTCGAAATGGTGGACACTGCAAAAGTTGTGGCGAGATTCCCTCTTCCAATTTGATCTATTTCCTTATTTGCAACTTTTTCCTTCTTTTTTATCCCTTTTCCTTCATGTACATTTTCCTTCATGGACATTTAATTCTCGTTTTTCACCTATAAACCAGAAATCTATCAATGAAAGTACAAATATAAGTAAATCGAAATAAAAGATCCACGTAAAGTAACGTATTGAGTGTAAATTTACACTCAACACAGCCCCAAACTTGAACTTTTGCTTGTCCTCAAGTAATATCTAGCAACTTGCAAAGCAACAAAATCAATAAATGTATCTCATCACATACATTAATATGGTCTACTTCACGTATTCAGAACTTGTAATTGTCATGACACTTCTCGAAAATTATAGAAGTTAAAAATTCAAAGATAGTTAATTGCTTACCATTGTCAGGAACCAAAAATCATGTCATTGCTTCAAGCATCCAATATTTTTTTATCTAAAAATACAGAAAATTTATACTTACCTAATAATATTAAACTCCAAAGACTCACCGAATTTCTCTACTCCGATAATTTCGAATAATTGAGCTATTGGAATCATTGGGACTTTTTGACTTTCAATTGTTGGGCTCTTTGGTGCAATATAGGAAATGTGTATATATTAATGGCTACTCTTCTCTTTTCGATCTTCTCATTATTGAATAAAGAGTTGCTCTAAGCAAGATGCTTTTTTTCCTTCTTGAATCGAGGTGTTTTCGCCGTGATTTTAAGATTAGGCTTTTTGAATTATTGTTTCAAAAGTCTCCACTTTTGCTCTTGAGGTATGGTTCAAGTTTTATTTGAATATTTGCGCATGTCCTCTTTTTCCCTTCTTGTTCTCTTCTTCTTCTTCTTTTTTTCTTTTTTGAGAAGAAGACAAACGTAACAAATTTTCCAACCAACTCCAAGGGAATTTTTCTCAATAAATCCTCTATCATCCATCTAATCTACCCATGTTAATATGGCTTAAAGAAATAACACTCTTTCTCCAAGGCATAATCAAGGTTCTAGTGATAAATACGTTAATGGTAGGCCTGAAAGGCTCAAAAGATTCAAAGAAGACACGAATCACATCCGAAATCACTCAACGACTCAATACTTCACTTTGCAGATTTCTAAGGTGAGTTCTAAAACCGAAAATCATATGATATAGCATAAATTAACTCCACATTTAAAAATAAAATTTTCAACAAAAGCAACATATAATTCATGATTCTCAACAATGACTAACTCGTAAATTACTTTGAATCGAAAGCTCACATAAATTCAAGTATAGCTACAACAAAGCAAGTAATTTCATCATCAAAGATTGTCCATCTTTCATCATCACAATTCATCAACGCATTCAACTCAAATATTTTTTTTAAAGAAAACAATAAATAAACGAAAACAACTAAAAAGAAAAAAAAATCCTAAAGCATGCAATCTAAAACATATAAAGCACATAAAATGTGTTTCACCCCAAAACTTAAAATTTACATTGTCCTCAATGTAATTAAAACAAAGTTTAAGGATAGAATACACATTGATTAGTCGAAACGTCCTCCACGTGTTTCACTCCTCCATCTCTTCCTCTTTCAAGCAAACTTTTTTTTTTTCAGGGTTGGTTCCGGACGGCTGTCTGGAGTTTTGCCTTGATTTTCGGACAGTCGTCTGGTCTTTTTGTGTCCGTTTTTCGACCTAAAAATTCAAACATGATTAAATTATTAGATTTCAAGCTTATATAAATTCTAAGAAAAATAAAAACAACTAGAAATACGAAAATAAAATGATAAATGCTTGGGTTGCCTCCCAAGAATAACTAAATTTGAAGTCTTCAGCCATACTTTGCTTCTTGAAATTGTTATGTCCAATCAAAATCCTTATCGATAGCGCATCCATCCATGAGCTCTATCACTTCAATTACAATCAAGGCATGGATAGCATTACAACATGTCAGGGTCCAACTTAGCTTGTAATGTTTTTTTTGTTGTAATTAATCGGTACGAAGCCAAGATGGGATGTTCGTCAGCCGCTCCCTCAAATCGGTAAACAAAAACCTCAAGACTACGTATAACCTCTGCCTCAAACACATTCGTCTTCTCATCAACCTCTATTGATGCCTTTAAAGCCACATCAGGAACAACGATAAGATCCTCAATTTGAATATTTGCACTAACCACATCCATCTTCTTCTTCTCTTCTTCTGAGAGATCTTTGGGGTTTAGCTCGATTGCATTCTCAGATTCATCCTGCTTAAGCGTCTTCATAAGTTCTTTTTCCTTTTCATCAATACTATTTTCTAGGACTAAAAGATTTTTCTCACTAGAAGCTTCACACGGATTTTCTTTGCTACAACCATTCTCGACATCGTCTGGAATATTTTCAAGAAACCTCTTGAACTTGATCTCTTCCAACTGTATCTCCAGTCTTTGGAAAGATGGTTGAGTGAATTTCATAAATTCTTCAATGATGGATTTCAAATAACACTCCTGAATACTGGGTTCTCGTGGTATTGCGTAACATGTTTGAAAATCATCAAATTGCGGCTCTCGATGTTGAAAATCATTGAAAGCTTGGCTCGAAATGCTCTGCTCATACGTGTTGGTGTATGTAATCCAATAACTTCTACTGGTATTATCGATGAAATTATTCTCTTTCGGTGCTTCCCAACATTGGTTAGTACAATTATTTCCACCACATGTTGAACAAAAAAGAGGCATATCATTGGTGTTTTGGAGGTATTCGCTAGACGGAAACCATTCATATCCCGTTTGAGGTGCGCAAAAATTAAACCAAATTAATAAAAAGCGAATTATTCAACTGTCTAATCCTAAGCGCTAGATTTTCACAACTATGTTCAAACCCACCCTACACAGTCTAATTTGAAGAAGATGACTAAATTAAACCAAATTAATAAAAAGCAAATAACAGCAAGCAAGAGCAAATAACACGAAGATTAATCAAATTAAAAATCCCTAGGATTTTATCTCCCCCCGTGTGTTTATTAGTCCCCCAATTCTCTCAATTATGCAAGCAAATAATTTGAATTACTAACTAGAGATGCTAATTTAATCATAACCCGCTTCCGCGTGTATTATGATTTCATTATTCGTGACTAAATTACTGTGTTCCTATGCAATTCAATCAAGAATAAAACATTAAGCACGAATCTCAATAATGGCTACCCAAGAGGTTAACTATATTCCTATGATAACACAACAAAGACTCTTCTACCACACTTCTAATTGTTAAACCAATCTTTCGATTCATGCATTCAACAATAACAATAAATCACATAAATTGATCAAGTTTATGCACTTAATAAATCAAGTAGAAAAAATAATCCAAATTAATACTTGCATAAAATCATAGAATTGGATTCACAAATCGCACATAGGGTTCGAATAAAATCCTAAAAACTAAAGACTTTAGCTACTCGTAATTCTTATGATCAACAAATAAAATTAATAAAATAAATAAGAACAACTATGCTTGAGTTTTCGAACTTCGTTCTTCGCGTTTTGTTGTTTCAAATTTCGTGCTTATGGGGTGGAGACTTGTTGCTTTTATATGCTTTTCTTGATAAGGAAGTAGTGGAAACCTAATAGGAAAATTTTCGCCACTTTCTCCATCTAATTTTGTTCTTCTATTTTGACCATGTTGGAGTCCGAATTTTGGAATGTTGTGTGAAATAATAATTGTTGCCCTTGAAACTAGCTTTCCAATGTCGCTGAAAGCAGATGATTTGGATTCCTTCTTCCAATTTGATTTATTTCCTTATTTGCAACTTTTTCCTTCTTTTTTACCCCTCTTCCTTCATGGACATTTAATTCTCATTTTTCACCTAAACTCAAATTGTATTCCCTTGTAATTTGCACACCAAATTAACCACAACAACATGCAGAACCAAATCATACTAAAATTAAGTGCAAACAAAGAATAGCAAAGCTCAAATCATACTAAAAATTTGTGACTTCAAACTAAATGCAAACCAAAATTTTCATAAATTACCATAATAGAAAAAACAAACTCACATATAGCAAAGGAAAACTCATAATAAGAAACTCGAAACAACAAATTGCAAAGTTGGCATAGCAAATTCACACTAGCAACAATCAAATATTTAATCTCAAGAAATTAAAGGTTCGTACTTAAAAAATAGTTACAGTTTTTTTCAAATAAGCATAAACAAACTAATAACATTAACAAACCCTGCAATTTATACCTTATTTTATGGATTCGAAGTCATCATCCTAGTTTGACGTCCAGGAAAAAAAAGGGGGGGGGGGGGGGGTTTGAATAAGTATTGAAAAAATCGAATAATCAAATAGGAGTATTGGTTACCGAGAGTAAATCGTGTTTGAGCCATTGTAGGAATAACAAACAACATACGATGTTAACACAACAAACGATCTCCAAATAGCAAAAAAAAAAAAAAATTGGTTCCACAACGTAAACAACAAACGGAATTTTGTAAATTGCAATCGGTTCGAGGACCCTACCTATGGTAGACGCGATTAATTTTTTTGTTAGGGTTTGGTGTTGATGAAATCGATGTTTGGGAGCGGTAGAATTGATGAAATTGATTTTTGGGAGAGGTGGAATTTGAGATTTGAGAATACGTTATATTTGGGAATGTGTAGTTCAACTAATGGAGAAATATATGGAAAATTATTTTGGGTATTTTTATTTCCATATATAATTAGGGATATTTTGGACACATTAAATATAAAAAAATTACTAAAAATTGGGTTTTATTAGTTGGACTTATACACATAAAATCTTTTATAGGAGGACCTATAACAAATTGTCCATGAATTCAATTGAGCTTAAATATATGGAGCGGCTAAAACTAATACCAATTTTTCTCACTTCAATACCACTAAGTTTAATACCATATTTTACATAATTTTTTACATTTTTTTCTTAGATTAATACCACAAATAATTTTTTTCATTAGCAAAGTACTAACATACCCTCATCAAACAAAATACAATTTATACAAACAAATTTTGTTTTTCCTCATTTCAATACCAAAGAATAAAAAAAGAAAAAAAAAACTCTATTCTCCCCCAAGCCCAAACTCATTAAACCCTCTCTTCTTCTTCATCTTTTTACAAACCCTCCAAAAATATCTCAAAATTTAAAACCTCACAAATTATAAAATGGAGTCACAAGACACCGAAATGGTAGTTGACATGGTAGAAGAACCCTTTAAAGTATGTATCCATGTCTTTCTTAAGCTAGGAAGTCGATTTTGAAGTTTTTTTTTGAAGCCCGTCGACAATTCTTGACACATATATGTCGATTTTTTTTGTCAATTTTCGACACCAGCATGTCGAAATTTCACAAAAAAATCGACATGTATGTGTTGAAAAATCACTGCTTAATTTTTTCTTTTATATAAATCAAAAGTGATTTTTCGACACATAGATGTCGAATTTTGGAGAAATTTCAACATGTTGGTGTCAATATTCCTTTCATTTTTTCGACACATACATGGCGGATTTCAAAAGAAAAAAAAAATTCAAAATCGACTTTGAAGCTCAAAAAAGACATGGATACATACCTGAATAGTTTCTCCTTAGTCGTAAACTACCATTTTGTTGTCATTTGACTCCATTTTGTAAGTTGTATGAAGTTTTGATTGCTTTAGTTTTGAATTATTTTAGGAGGGTTTGTTGTGAAGAAGAAGGAGGTTGAGGGGTTTGTGAAGAAGAAGGGTTTAATTTGAGGAGTTTTGTGTATTTGATATTAAAGAAAGAAAAACAACATTTTTAATATTTTTGTGGTATAGATTTTCATTAAGGGTATTTATGTCATTATCTATTTATCATCTAATTTCTATTTTGGTGTATTAAATTGAGAAAATTTTAATATCATTTTTAGCTGCCCCTAAATATAAATAATACAAATAAAACCCGTCATGCAAATTGTTTTCACATAGGGACTTTTACGTCAATTAAACATTTTACAGGAGGTGAATGCAATTAAATTAACTCGCAAATGTTTAACCGTTTGCTGACACACTTTGTTAAGATTTAGCAGTGCTTTCTGTTTTAGATAACGCCCCTCAAACGTCCATGCACGTTTATTTTACAATCTTGAATACCACTGCAGTATATTTATACCATACCTCCCCCACTGTTTTTCTCTTTAGCTTCTAATTCTAAAGATTTATAGGTCAGTCAAACCCACGCGTCAATTACATTACATACATGCACGTCACAATCTCTATATTCCCAATCTAGCTAGCTGTCCACGCGCTCTCCGCCAACATATATATATATACACAAGTATATATATTATGTTCGTTACCTTTCAATTTGAATTAATTATCATCGTAGTTAATAACTCTCGAAAATGAATTCGATCGTGCTCGCCTTTCTTCTCGTGCTGTTATTGTTCTCAACCACAAACAATAATTTCTGCTCGGCAACTCCAAGACTTCTCGCGCTTATCAAGCCGAACCCCATCGTCCTCAAATACCACAACGGCAAGCTTCTCAAAGGCAACGTCACCGTCAATTTAATTTGGTACGGCAAGTTCACCTCACCGCAGAAGTCGATTCTCGTCGACTTCCTCCAATCACTCAGCCCTAGCCGCCCCCCGGCGCCCCCCTCCGTCGCGTCGTGGTGGAGCACCACCGCAACCTACAAAGGCGGCCCGTCGAATATCCTACTCGGCAAGCAAGTCGTCGATGAGAAGTACTCCCTTGGGAAATCTCTCAAGGACGCCCAGATCACAGCCTTGGCTACCAAGGCTGGACTGGGACCCAGCGCAGTCAACGTCGTCCTGACGTCGGCTGACGTGGCGGTTGAGGACTTCTGCATGAACACGTGCGGCACCCACGGGTACACTAGTGGCAAGAAACCCGACGACAAGTACGCCTACGCGTGGGTTGGAAACTCCGGGAAGCAGTGCCCGGGGCAGTGCGCGTGGCCGTTCTATAAGCCGGTTGTGGGGCCGCAGACTCCGCCGTTAGTAGCCCCCAACGGAGACGTCGGGATTGACGGCATGGTGATCAATCTAGCCACTGTTTTGGCGGGAACCGTTACCAACCCGTTTGACGGTGGGTACTATCAGGGTGCGGATAGTACCGCTGGGTTGGAGGCGGTTACTGCCTGCTTAGGGATATTCGGGTCGGGTGCGTTCCCGGGTTACCCGGGTAAGGTGGTGGTTGACAAGACGAGCGGGGCTAGCTACAATGCGCAGGGTGCTAACGGGCGCAGGTATCTGCTGCCGGCTATGTGGGACCCAGCCACGTCCACGTGCAAGACACTCGTGTGAAATTAATATAATCGAATAAAATATTGTGCGTGCAGTGCACGATGTGGCTCTACAATTTGGATTTGTTAATTTAATATTTTCTGGTTGTTTCTGTACGTTGAAGATTATACATGTAAACATTTTATATGAATTTATGTTACACGAGAGAAAAGTAGAATTAGGATAATGTAAAATAAACGTACCTATGATTCGTTGAAGTTTTCAGATCGAGTTGGCCACAAATTAAGTTGATTGCTTGGGAATATTGTTTTCAATATGTGTAACTTTAAGTTGTTGAGCATGCTTTGTTTTCTGTAACCTTATTTTCACATACAGTCAATAAAACTTTTATTTTCTTTCGTACAGCATAGAGGACCCTTGTTCTTTTTAGTACCTACACCTAATAAAGTACACTATGTAGTTTTACATTATCGATTTAATCACTACAAGAAATTTTATATTTGACAACGAAATATTTTGTTGTTGGAAGAGCAAAATTTCGTTGCCAAATCCAAAACGAATTTGTTCCGTTGCCAATACATTCGTTGCCCACATCGATCGACCCAACCCAACCCACATCCATCCGACCCTCCGACCCACATTGATCGACCCAACCCAACAATTTAAATTGGCAACGATTATATTTTGTTGTCAAATCTCTTGAAGCATTTACAACAAAAGATTTTGTCGTCTTTCGTCACATACTAGTGACAAAATAAATTTGTTGCCGTTGTAAATGTATTTACTACAATTTTATATCGTAGGAAAAAGAAATACTCTTTTGCAACAAAACAAGTTGTTGTCTTACATGAAATTCGTTGAGAAATATATATAATACTATTCACAACAATATATTTCGTTGCCTATGAGATTCAAAGGCAACAAAAATATCTTGTTACAAAAATGTTAATCTTCGGCAACAAATACTATATTTCGTTGCTAAAATATAACCATTGGCAACGAAATTAATTTCGTCGATATAGAAATCGTTGCCTATTTTACATTTTCTTGTAGTGAATACACATAATAACACATACATGATACATCTATATAGATATATGTACTTAGGTCCCAGTTTTGTTGTTAAGATAAGTCATGATTAACTAAATAGTTGGACTTAAGTTGATGTTTGGTATCCCAATAAATTGTCGGGTTGACCCGCCAAAATTATATTATCATGGCTTATCTTGCCTTCTAATAAGTTTTTTTTTGATTGAATGTTTCAAGGTCCGATAAAATAATTGGGTCTCATTAGATTATTTAATTTTATTTTGACTAATCTTATGTTGCCAACCAAACAGGGCCTTAGTGGATAGTCAAGAGATCTAATTCACCTAGATGGTCAGACCAATAATGATTTAATATTCAGCAAAATTTGTTGGTCGGGTTGGATTGGTAATTAGCCAATAATTACCATAATTATCAGCCCGGCTAATGCCCAACTCTATACTTTAAACTACCTACTATTTTTCTCAGTACTCTTCGTTAATTCAAAAAATAATCCTTCTCGTTAATAGGGATTTGGAGATTTAGAAGTTTGAATTATAAGATAAAAAATTTAAAACGAAAATGCAGTCTAAGAGAAAAAAACGAAGGCAAAGTGATGATAACAAAAAGAATGGGCTCGAATAATAATTATATTTTAGGTATTTTTAAAGAGGCTTGTTATTTACACCCTCAAAATATCTTATTTCCCCATCAAATTAAATATATTTCTTATATTATCCCTTTCGTCTTCTTTTACTTATTTTTTGTACAAATTCATAAGTTGTCCTTCACTAAACTAATTAACATATCTATACCTATATCTATATATAATATAAAAAGATGATCTATGCCCTCAATGATTCACATGTGGCAAATGATGATGTCATTTATCAAAATTGCTTAGTTGGAGTTCAATTGATGAGGTGGATTCATCAATTGGTGAATTGTCAATTTTATTTTGGTATGTATTTAAGTTATTTCCTATTTAACATTTATACACTCATTTAAACAATTACCACGTGTATATATATTATTTCCAAAATTAATATTTTATAAATTCGAAATAAAAAAAATCTTATTTACATTTCCAGTATTTCAAAATATATTTATTGGTAGTCTTTTAAAAAAAATTCAGTACACTCAATTTTTTTACGAATATTCAAATAATTTTCAGAAAAAAAAACATTTTTTTAATATTCAAATATTAAAATAAAGCAATACAATTGTTTTTTTTTTTTTTTTTTTTTTTTAATTTTCAATATTCTGGAATATTCGAATATCCATTCAATAAAAAGAATTATTAAAAAAATATATTAATATTGTTTAATAATGCATTAAAATTCGTTTTCAAATTAACATATTGATAATATATTATGAAATTTGTAATTTTATTATTAATATACAAAAAAAAAGACAAAAAAAACCTGTGTTTGTTTTAGTTATTTTAAAATTTGCTAAAATGAGAATATACATTTTATGATATGGAATTTGATTTCTTACCTATTTAAGATGATTATATTTAATTAATATAGTTAGTTTAAAGAAAATATTCAATAACCATAAATATTGTTTAATATTTTAAAATCAATTCCTAATCAATAGAAATCAAATCATCCGAATTGAATTGATTTGATTTCTTACCTTTTCTTCTTTTCTTTTTCCACCTATGATTACCTATAATCATGTCATTTGAAATTTGAATTCAAAAACTTTCCTAATTACTATATACTTATCAAAACTATATAAACCCCCATCTATTGATTTCACCCTACACTATTCTTCTTTACCCATTCCATTCGAGTTGTTTTTGTGTTTCGTTTTTCGTTTTCTCTTTTTGGTTTTTTTTTGTAATTTTTTTTTCAATTGATTTCATGCATTTATCGTATTATTATTTAATTTAGATGGTTTAAATCCGTTTAATATTTTTATTTAACTGAAGAACTATGCTAATACTTTTTCTTTATGTATTTCTTGCAGATGTTGTTTACGAATCCAACTTATGTCCTATGTGCTACATTGTTACGCTTTGCATATAATTTTTGTAATTTAATTAATTTTTTTTGTAAAAGTTTGTATTTAGTTTTTTAATTTAATTGACTTATATATTTATCATTATCCAAAGATAGATTATTGTTTTGTCAAACAGAACATGAATCATGTATTGCATGTGGAAACGTGGAAATAAAAGATTTTTTATTTTTCTTTGGTTTTGAAAAGAAGATTGGACAACATTGTTGTATGAAAATGTTTCACCACAATTGACATGTATCATCTTTTGAATTTTTTTTTTTTTTTGTAAATAATAAAGACAAACAATTTATGTATTTTTGCTTCATTAGTGCAATTTTGGAGTTCTATTTTATTTTCTTATAGTTTACATATTTTACATTCATTATAATTTTCTATTTTATGTTTCAATCTTAATTTTTTTGAATAAATTACTACATTAACATTTGAATATTCAAATATATTCGTTTGAACGTCCATTTTTTATGAATATTCAAATAAATTTTAGGAATTTTTTTTCATTGTAATAATCGACTAATTTTAATAATTAAATATATATTTTTTTAATTTTCGTAATTATAGAATATCGGGATATGCATTCAATAAATTATATTTGTTTAAAATACAACATATAAATATTTTATTATTTCATTCTTTCATTTCATAAAATATAATCATATATTAATAAAATTCAATAATGTATAATAAAAAATACTCTTTCTTTTTTTTCTGAAAAATATATAATATTACTTTTTCGCAATAGATAAAATTTCCATATGAGTATTACTTTCTCTTTAAAAAAAATAAAACAATATTATATATATCAAATCAAATTTATTTTTTATTTTTTATTCCATATTATCTGTATATGTCAAATCATGACAATTTTACATTTTTTCATAATTATATTTTTTCCAATATTATATGCATCATAAAATAGGATAAATTATGTATTTTATTGTGACTTAACTTTTCTCGGATTAGGTGGCTCAATTAGTTGTCAATCAAAATTAATTATTTTCAAATTAACTTAATACATATTTATTAACTGCCGTGATTAACTATTTCCAAATCAATCCAAATCAAATCATTTCATTATATAATCAATGATTTCAAAATTTTAGATTGTCACTCATTTTAGAATTCAAATTTTGAAATTTTAAAATATTTTCAAAATTACGTAATAATCCATGCTATATAATCTCCCACAACAATGTGATTTTCAACACTCGATCCAACTACTTTATATTATCATATCCAATTATGTTTCCGTTTTAATATTAATATATAATTTGTAGCACTTGATCCAACTACTTCATATGATGATCTACTTCATATTATCATATGTAATTGTCTTTCAGTGTTAATAATTATATGTAATTTTCAGCACTCGATCCT